AGGCCTGTTTAGTTCGGGCGTTGTCGGACTGAATTGCTAAAAATAACAAATAAGGGGGAGGTGGTTCTAAGGCCAGCCCTGGCTACTGTCTGTAATCTGTTTAATTTAGTTCCTGGGGAGAAAGGGCAAAAAGAACATGGTGCCATTCTCGTTGAATGGATTTTTTGTTTCAAGTGCTCATGAGAACATTGTTTGAGCTCTCCCTTTTCTCAAACCCCACATTCATGTGCTCATGCACCCACATTCACTTAGTGTGGAGCCAGAGCCTGGGGGCTCAAAGAGCATGCTGGGATTCAGCGGTTGTGCTAGAGATTAACCAGACAATTGTGGTCTTCTGCTGATCTTTTAATGTGGCTTTTTTTTTTTTTTTTTTTTTTTTTTGAGACGGAGTCTGGCTCTGTCACCCAGGCTGGAGTGCAGTGGCCGGATCTCTGCTCACCGCAAGCTCCGCCTCCCGGGTTTACGCCATTCTCCTGCCTCAGCCTCCGGAGTAGCTGGGACTACAGGCGCCCGCCACCTCGCCCGGCTAGTTTTTTGTATTTTTTAGTAGAGACGGGGTTTCACCGTGTTAGCCAGGATGGTCTCGATCTCCTGACCTAGTGATCCGCCCGTCTCGGCCTCCCAAAGTGCTGGGATTACAGGCTTGAGCCACCGCGCCCGGCCTTAATGTGGCTTTTGACAATGGAAATGTGCATTTAGCTTGTAAGAGAGTGAGAGTGAGTGTGGTGGTTAGAAATGGGGGGAGTTAGTGTGTGAATAAGAATATTTCTATTTACTACTCTTCCCTAACTCAGTGTTCAGAGAGTCAGGTGGTTTGATAAAATAACTGCATGTGTGACTCCAGTACACCTGCATTTAACTTTAACCCACACCGCCAGCATAAAGCTCTGCTTCGATTTGACTCTTGACCTCTCTGTGCCTTAACTTCTTCATAATAATAGAAACAGCTCTCTATAGAGACAGCAGTCTAGTACTTGCTTGTAAAGCTGTTGATGATCACTGAAGGAATGATTTAAATGCCTTTCCTATCCCCTGCTGTGTACAATTTTCTAGTGGTGGAATGTGTGAAAACTAGGAGCAAATTTTTAGGTTTGTGTGTGTGTGTGTGTGTGTGCGCGCGCGCGCGCGCTCCACATTCTATGTTGACTCACCTGAGGGCTTATTGATTTTTGTATTCTGAAGTTTATTGATTTTCGTATTCTGAAATCTCATCCAAAACCCTTTCCTTTGCAGTTCTTATTTTGAGGAAGGAGGGGTGTCTAAACCTGATTACTTTAACACCAAAGGTAAAAAAGGATTGTTTTTATTAGAGATCCTGGGGGTTTGTTGGGGCGAGATGCCATGCAAATGTCTTGGGAAAGCATATATCAGTGAAGATCGAGGTATTTACCCATAGCTTTGGGATCTGAGCAGTTAGACATTGCAGGCTTTGAAATGCCTGCTTTTAGATATTTCTCAAGTCACAAACCTGTGTTACTCCCTAGTTTAATGATAGGCTGCTGCATTATCCAGGTGAGAGATGATGGTGGGTTGGACCAGGATGGTGACAGTGGAGGTGATCAGACTCTGGATGTATTTTAAGGTAGAACCAAGGTGACTGGGTATAGGAGTAAAAGAAGAGAGTTGAAAAAACTGAAGTTTTGGGCCTGTGATTAAGGCCCAAATGCTCCCCCTCTTCTTCCTCTTCCTTTCCCATATGTCACTCATTCTCCACGAGAGATCTGGAATGGGTTCATGGGAGAGCGGGCATTTCACCTGGGCTTTGAAGGTCAGCTGGAAGTTTGCTAGTTGGGGCTAGGGCAGAGGGGAGGGCATTTCAAATCAAGGAATAGTGTGGACAAAAGTCTGGAAGTGGAGTGGTGGTTGCAGTGGAGTAACCGTCCATGGGGAAATGAGTGAGTGGGAAGTGAGGCTGGAAAGATCTAAGGGAAAGGAATTAAAGTGAATGAAATTAGCATTGCTTCTACTCACTTTTTCTAAGTACTGCTTGTTCTATGCAAGTAGCTGTTCTAAGTCCCAATGCTATTCATTCAGTGTGGTTTCCACTCAGCATTCCATGTGTCCTGGGCTCCATAGAGGGAACGTCCTGCTGCAGACATTCCCCAGGTTTATAGGAACAAATGTGCTACTGCTCGTTCATAGATCAATGTTTCCTAGTCAGTTTTCAAGTTTTGAAACTAAAATTTTTTTTTTTTCCCGAAACTAATTTTTAAAGCAAGCTGAAAGTTTGGTTTGGGCCTTTACCTTTGAGATTACTGTTAGACACCCAAGTAAAGATGTGGAATAGACAGTTGGATATATGAATCTGGAACTCTGGACTAGCGAAATAAAATAGAGAATTGTCTACAAATTGCCAGTTTATAGATGGCATTTCAAGTCATAGAACTAGCTTGGGTCAACTAAGGGAAAAATATAGCTGGAGAAGGGACAGGGTTTGTGGACTGAGCCCTGGGTCACTGCAGCAGGACCACAGAGGTGTGGACAGCATCCATTTTGAGTCCAAATAACTGAGTGAATACCCACATGGGCAACCCTCTGCTGATACGGGGCCAGGCTGAAGGGTTGCTGTCAACTCCCTTGGTGGTAAGGGGACTGCTTTTTCATGGGCTGTCCAAGCAGAAGCTGGCAGCAGAAGTGGTCAGTTCTGTTAGACCTGAGTTGCAAGTGCTTTGTGGTCTTCCTTACTAGCACTCCCCCTGGAGTTAGGCCTGACTGGCTGAGGGAAGCTGGTTTGTTTTCCCTGGGAGGGACTGCAGGAGGTAGAGACTGAGATCAAGTTAGGCTCAGAGCTGAGTGCTTTGCATATGGACAACACTGCAGGGAGGGGGTGCCTGAACATAGTCCTTTTAAAGTATAGCAGATAAAAAGTCTGCCATGGATCTGTGGAATCTTGAGTAAAATTTGAGGAAGGTGGGTACTAAGATGGGCAGAAGCAAAGATGCCTACGAGTTTTGAACTAGTTTTAAAGGTTAAAAGATCCCTAAGAGGATTTTATGTTAATACCTTTACTGTTCCCTATATATACTCAACATAGTGTGTACACACACGTTGCTACCCTCTATAAAATGAATTTTAAATTTTATTTTATTTTTTTGGAGATGAGGTTTTGCTTTGTCATCCAGGCTGGAGTGCAGTGGCGTGGCGTGATCATAGCTCAGTGCAGCCTGGAACTCCTGGGCTCAGGTGTTCCTCCTACTTCAGTCTCCTCAGTAGCTGAGACTATAGGCGCAGGCTACCATGCTCAGATAATTAATTTTTTTTTCTTTTTTTTGTAAAGACAGAGTCTCCCTATGTTGCCCAGGCTGGTCGTGAACTTGGCCTTGAGCAGTCCTCCCACTTCAGCCTCCGAAAGTGTTGGGATTACAGGCATGACCCACCACGCCTAGTCCCCTCTGTGAGATCCAAATATGTACTAAGAAAAGCTTCAACCTTTAGAATATTTTTTAAGTTCATCTTTAAGATTCTTAGCAAGTAAAAGATACGGCTTGTCTTTGCTCTGATATGCACAGCATAATGCCTTGGCATAGTAATTAAGAATATGAACTCTGGAATTAGATGAATATGAATTTGAACCCTGACTGCCATTTAATATCATCTTGGATAAATGACATACTTAGTGTTTGGTATGGTTTGGATGTTTGTCTCCTCCAAATCTCATGTTGAAATGTGATCCCCAGTGTTGGAGGTGGGGCCTGGTGGGAGGTGATTGGATCATAAGGGCAGACCCCTCATGAATGGCATAGCACAATCCCCTTGGTGATGAGTGAGTTCTCAGTTCACTCAAAATCTGGTTGTTTAAGTATCTAGGACCTCCCACTCACTCTCTTTTGCCTCACTTTCACCATGTAACGTACTGGCTTGCCATCACCTTCTACTATGATTGTAAGCCTCCTGAGGCCCTCACCAGACACTGAGCAGATGTTGGTGCCATACCTGTACAGCCTGTGGAACCATGAGCCAATTAAACTTCTTTTCTTTATAAATTACCCAGTGTCAGGTATTCCTTTACAGTAATGCAAAAATGGACTGATACAGTGTTTTTAAGCCTAAATACACTCGCCTGTAAAATGGCAAAAGCAAGTGTTAGGATGGAGGGAGACAATAAGTAACTTTTATTTCCTGCCCAAGAGTGGAACCAGTTGAAAGACAGATGGATATAAAAATTCCATCTTTTTATATATTTTACCTTTACTATTAATAAAGATTAGGTTGAAGAATGTGGCTTAGGTATGCAGCAGTCATGAGTTTTTAATATTGATCCAGATTTAGGCATACAGATAGATGAACTTACCCTACAAATCTCTGTAAGTGCAGGACAACCACAGGTCTTTCTCTGCAGAGGCAGGCAGAGCCTGTCTGTTAAACTTACAAGAGGCTTCTGCAAACAAGCAGCTTCTGGCAGAGCAGAAGGGGCCGAGCTCCTTTGTTTCTTCTTCCAAACAAGCCAGTCAGAAAAGCCACCAGTCTTCCCTGGACTAGATGGAGGAGGCTAGGACTATAACTAATGAAAGCTGGAGGTGAGGATAAACACTTATCCCTTATGAAAGGTACCTGCCTTGTAACATAATACAGATCACTTAGTACTGTGCCTGACACAGTAAATACTTAATGCAGGATTTTATTATTTGCATCTGGTGGATGCTCAGCAGCTGTTTACTGATTGAGCATATTGCCACCAAGTGCTTATAAGATAAAAGGTGTTTTTTTCTTTTAATTTGGAAAATAATGTATGAAAGCGAACTTAACAAACACCTGTGCATTTATCATTTAGCATTAACAAATGGTAGCATTTTGTAATATTTTCCTTTTTGGCTTTTTTTTTTTACACAAATAATGCTAATGAAATTGAGGTCGTCTGTTTTCCCTCCCATACCGTCCCCAGTCTCATTACCACTCACCAGAAGCAACAGCTATCAAGAATTTGGTCTGTATCTTTTCATTCCATGTTTGATATGCATCCTGTATTCAATAAGTAACACCGTGTTGTTTATATCTTTCAGCAACTTGCTTCTTTCATTCCATATGAAGCACAAACATTGCCATTGGTAGGGCTGGCCGGTGGACTCACTGTCGAGTGCCAGCAGGTCAGTTCAATCTGCTGCTCTTATTTTCTGATAGCCATGGATTCTGTGTGAAGCCATCTCATGAACTTTGTGGCCTCTGCCCGTGATTTAGAAATGGAGATCACATGTTCTTCATGGAGCCAGAACCAGAATCAGTCAGGGAAAGAGAGGGACATCAGAGTGGTAACCTGGGATTCCAGGTTCTAGACTCCAAACCCTCTAACATTCACTTTTACTCTGAAAGAAATGGGGATTCCTTATGCCATAGTTGGATACTCTGAGTAGCTAGGCATTCCAAAATTTGTGGTCCTTTTCTTATAAAATGATAACCCCCTGAATACCAGCTCTGAGTGAAGAGATAAGTGGCTTCTAAGTGACCTGGCATCTGGAAATTGAAGAAAGGGCAAAAGGAAAACCACCCTTTGAGTCATGTTTGCAAAGAGAAGTATGCCAAGGGCTCTTTTATTACTCCAGTGTCATTAAAAGTGTAATTGGTGTTATGTCAGCTATTAGATCAGAGCTATTAGCATATTAAATTCTCTCTGTTTACCTCAGTTCTATGGTAACTTAGTGGGTGTGGAGTTGGGGACAGGTGGCAGCTGGGCGCCTGTGACGTTTGGTCTGTAGAGTGATTTCATCATAATCTGAGCCCTGTATCACCCTGGATGGAGAAGTGTCACTGGGTGATGTGGACCTGACCTCTCAGTACCCCTCAGAACACCCAGAGCTATGAGCAAAGATCCTGGGTTGCTTGTCTTACCTAGAAGTTTAACTTTGAAGGACAGCATTTTCTTGGGTGATATTGACAGGTGTAACTGTGAATTTCCTTTTCTCTTTCTTAGTGAAAAGACAGCCGAGGGTTTTGGAAAGCTTTACAAGTAGTCCTTTGATATTGGAGCGTATTTGTAGTTCTCCAATTCTGCCCTCTGCTGACCCAGACAGATCAGCCGAGGAGGTGCCTATGAGTCATGCAGCTGTGCTTGCCCTGGCTTTGAGCTCTTGCTTGTTTTCACTGTCTCCAGGTCCTTTTATGGGTTTCCGGTTGCCATATCTCTATTTTTTTAGTTGTATAAATATGTTACTCGATTGGAAAGTAGTGATGTGATCACATAAAAGTTTACTCTTGTTTATCCATTGGCTCTACCACAGTACCTTATTAACTCATTAAATGCTTAGTGCTTTTGCTTACAGCATTAAAGTTAATTTTTAACAATTATTATGGCAGTTTATTTTACCCCAACCAATTTGTGTGTGTAAATTTTTGGTGGAGTACAGACTGATTTGCTGGTAAAAGCCATTACTTGCCATGCCTATTTTCAGACACAGAGATTTAATGTCCTGTCTTTTTTTTTTTTTTAATGTCCTTTCTTTTTTTTTTGAGATTCAGTCTTACTCTGTCATCCAGGCTGTAGTGCAGTGGTGTGATCTCGGCTCATTGCAACCTCCGCCTCCTGGGTTCAAGCGATTCACCTGCCTTAGCCTCCTGAGTAGCTGGGATTACAGTCGTGTACCACCAGGCCCAGCTAATTTTTGTATTTTTAGTGGAGGTGGGATTTCACCATGTTGGCCAGGCTGGTCTCCAACTCCTGACCTCAAGTGATCTGCCTGCCTCAGCCTCCCAAAGTGCTGGAATTATAGGCCTGAGCCACTGTTCCCGGCCAGTGTCCTGTCTTTTCCCCTTGTGGTGCAGCATTTTGAGAAGAAAAGGAGATATATATATATATATATATATATGAGGTAAAATTCACATAACATAAAATTCACAATGTTGTATAATCATCACCACTGTCTAACTCTAGAACATTTTTATTGCCCCCAAAAGAAACTTACCTAATTAAGCAGTGAGACTCCCTCAGTACCTGGCAATCATGAATCTGTTTTCTATCTGTCTCTGCAGATATGCCTGTTTTGGATGTTTATAAATGGATCATCTAGTGTGTGACTTTCTGTGTCTGGCTTCTTTCACCCTTAGCTTAATGTCTCAAGGTTCATTCATGTTATAGCATGTATCAGTACTTCTCTCGTTTTTATGTCTGAATACTATTCCATTGTATGGATATACCACATTTTGTTTATCCATTTATCAGTTGATGGACATTTAGGTTGTTTCCACATTTTGGCTGTTGTAAATAATGCTGCTATGAACATTTACAAGTTTTTGTTTGTATGTCAGAGTGGATTAGCTGGCTCATATGGTAATTTTATGTTTTAACTGAAGTAACTGCCAAGCTTTTCTGTAGCAGCTGCCCCATTTTACACCACCAGCAATATATGAGGGTTCTAGTTTCCCCACATCTTTGCCAACACTTGTTGTTTTCTCTCTTTTTTTTAATTTTATTTTTTGTTTTTACATTTTTAGTAGAGACGTAGGTCTCGCTGTGCTGCCCAGGCTGGTTTCAAACTCCAGAGCTCAAGTGATCCTCCCATGTTGGCCTTCCAAAGTGCTGGGATTACAGGTGTGCAACACTGCATCTGGCCGGTTTTTTTATTATAGCCATCCTAGTTGGTATAGTCTATCATTGTGATTTTTTAAATTTGCATTTTTGTAATGATAATAATGTTGAACAGCTTTGCATGTGCTTTTTGGCCAATGATATGTCTTCTTTGAGGAAATATCTGCACAAATCCTTTGCTCATTTTAAAACTGGGTTGTCTTTGTTGTTGTTGAGTTGAAAGAAAATAGGAATTCTGGAGTTGAAAGAAAATAGGAATTGCTTGGAGCAGAGAGCAGGATCAGGATTGACTTTAGGCTCTAACCACACATACCTGCATGTTAATCTTAACGTCAATTACAACTCCACTTCCAAGAATGCAAGGTGTCACCCTTACTTCCTCTCTTAGCAGGCACACCCTTATTCACCTACTCCTTTACCATGCCTACAGCCCAAACTCTACTGTAAACACTGTTGATTTGATCCTCTTGCTCCTGTAAGACTGGGACAAACTAAAGACAAATTGAAATATTGGGACTTACCGTTTTTTGTTGTTGTTTTTGCTCATTTGGAAGACTTGTAGAATTTTAACAGTTCCTCTAGTCCGTCTTATTGAAGAGCACTTGACTTTTTGATGTTGGTAAAACAGAAGAAAAGTAATGTATATTGGGAAACTGTAATTGTTTCCTTGGGCATAATTATATTGATGCTTCTACAACCCTTGTGTTGGACCTACAAAACCCAATGTCTCACTGAAGATAGGAGTTAATATTATTTGTCCTGACACCGCATTACATGTTCTTGAGGCTCACCTGTAACAGTTAAAATGTCTACTAGTTTTCCTTCATGGAGTTAGAGTCAGGTCTCAACTTTTTAAAGTTTCAAGATATCCTACAGGCCACTTGATGTAGCGCTCCCCTTTCTAGCCCCCAACCATTTCTGACGTGTTGTCACTCTTCCTGTTTGAACATATCCAACGATTTTTAGTGACCTCATTCTTTTTCCTGAACTACTCTCCTTTTGGTTTCTATGATACACATTTCCCTCCTTTTTAGTATTATTTGCTAGTTCCTCCTCTTCGTTCCAGTCTTAAAATGTTGAATTTCTTCAAGGCTGAGTCCTCTTATTGTATGTTCTTTACCTAGGAATTTCATCCGTTCTCACGACTTCAAGTACCACCTCTGTGCAAAATTATATCCCTAGCCTAGATTTCTTCCATGAACTCCAGAGCCAATCTAGGTTTTCACATCTCATTTGGATGTCTCACAGGTACCTTAAACCCACTATGTCCAAAACAACGCTCAGAATCTTCCCTTCCAAACCAGGTCCTCCTCCTGCATTTCTTCTCTCAGTGAAAGGCAGCACCCTTGAGCCAGTGTGCAAGCCCCAACTGGGCATCCTGGGAGTCATTCCTGACATCCTTCTCCCCAGCTTCTGACGTCTAATGACGGTTATGATGAAGGGCATGGTAGAGTCCTCTTGTTGATTTTCCTCCTGAATATTTCAAAAATCTACTGCTCTTCATCTCCATTGTCACCACTAAGATACTGTCATCTTTTTCCAAGATGATTGCAGTGGTCTCCTAACAGGTTTCCAACATTCACATGTGTATTCTCTAATCCAGTGCCTCCCAGGCTTTTTTTTTACAGTACAGCTCTCAGAAAATTGTATTTGCACAATTCACTGGGGTAACCAGACAAAGGTGCTCAAAGCTGGAGGCAACTGCCCCAAAGGGGGTTTTGGCTGCCCTGGACCCACCCAGCCACTCCAGGGACTGAGGGATCAATATCTTGGGCACATCTGTTACCCATTCATGACTCATAGGACATTTTGTGGGAAGCTCTGTTCTCATTCATTCTCTATGCTTCAGCTGAGATTGTTTTCAATAGAAATTTGACTTTTGCTAACCCAGTGGTGTTCCATTGCCTTCAAGATAAATTCCAAAACTTGAATATGGTTTAAGACCCCACATGATCCGACTCAGCCTCACCAGCCTCATCTCTGTATTCTTATCCTTTCTCTCTCTGTGCTTCAGTCTCCGTGGTTGACATTCAATTCTCCCAACTTGCCATGCTCCATTTATCTGGAATTATTCTCTCCCCACTCTCACCTCTCCTCTTGTTAATTCTTGCTCATCCTTCAGAGCTGAGTTCTCAAGTCCCTCTGTGAGTTCCTTGATTCCATCAGATGTTTCCTCCATCGAAGACCGTGCTTTCCCTCAGATCCCTTGTTACAGTGGTAGCTCAATGTCTGTGTGGCCTGCAACAGTATAATCTCCAGGGATCAGTGTGTACTTTGTTCACTTCTCTACTGTTGTTGCTCTTTGGAGTGCTGAGTGCCCAGTACGTGTTGGTTAGATGAATTATGTGCCAGTTCTTGGTGCTAGGGTTATAGCATTTATCAAATCAGACATGATGCCTACTCTGGAGCTTATGGTGAGATACAGACAATAAAGAAATAAACAAGAAACCATCATGTAGTAAGGGTGATGTTTTAGAGAGTTACTGGAGACCTCCTTTAGTGAATAATTGGGGAAGGGCTTTCTGAAAAAGTGAAATTTCAGCTAAGATGTGAATGAAAAGAAGCAGA